TCGATACTCAAGCGAAACGGCGATTAACTGTCTCATACTCAAGGGACTGGCGTGCGGAGGCTTYGATACTCAAGGGACCGGCTTGCGATGCTTCGATACTCAAGCAAACGGCTCTTGCGTTTGCGGATACTCAAGGGACCGGTGTGCGGAGGCTTCGATACTCCAGGGACCGGCTTGCAATGCTTCGATACTCCAGGGACCGGCTTGTGACGCTTCGATACTCAAGGGACCAACGTGCGGACGCTTTTTGCGTTGTCATATTCAAGTTATTTGCGTTGTTATTTGCGATACTCAWTGAAGTCCGGATCTCCGTATTCCTCAAGTTATTTGCGTTGTTGCGGATCTCCGCATTTGCAGTCTGCGATACTCAATCAARTGCGGATCTCCGTATTCAAGTTATTTGCGTTGCTAATGGCGGATCTCTGTGTTATTAATCAAGTGCGGATATCTTTTGCGGAGACGACGCTTCATACTCAAGTGTTTTGYGGTGCTCTTTGAAGTGTGGAGACTCCAGTGATTTGCAGAGAGGACTCAACTCAACAACCAACCGTTTATCATTCAAGTCAATCTAATTGGGGCACAATTGATTCATAACAGACCAATCTGTCTGAAGGGTGTAGTGCCAAGCTAATTTGTCTACTGACCGGCCAGCTCCAATGGCAGGAAGAGAGCATCTTCATCATGGACGTGATGATCCTCATCACAGAAGTAGGGCATGTCATCATAAGGACAGTACAATTATTGTCTCAAGAGGATGTTCTTGATCCCATGGAAGTTTAACATTGGTTCTTCCAAAAAAAGCAACAATCAACCAATTTAGTATGAGACACTAATACAGAGTGCACGGTGATTTGCTGGTATGAGTCGCTGATATGGATGAGGATGCTGATGCGGAGGATGCTGATACAGACGAGGACAAGGATGCTGATACAGACGAGGACGAGGATGCTGATACGGAGGATGCTGATACGGAGGATGCTGATACGGAGGATGCTGATATGAGTCACTGATACGAGTTGCTGATACAAGTTGCTGTTACTACGGAGTATGCTGATACTACAGATTATGAATGATGACACTGCTCAGTTTTAAACTGCTCAGTTTTAAAATTATGAGACTCGAATTCTGAAAAAAATCAGGCAAAGTAATGGGTGAAATGGGTTCAGTTCCTGAATAAATCCTGGCGCGGCCCTCAGCCATTCTCCRCGCCAGAATTTTTTCAGAAGTTTAATGACAATTTTTAACTGTTTTTTTTCACTGACGGTTAAAATAACAGGATTTACCTGTAAAAATGAGCTAAATTTTTCTACTAGCATTTGTACGGGAATTGCCAATAACTTGCCAATACGGGGCTTGCCTTTAATAGCTCTAGTATGTATCGTAGTATGATGCGTACGTACACACACAAGGSGGGTGATATTTCCGTTCCGATCTATTTTTTTTCTCTCTGAAACAAGTTTCAGTTGTAACCTGTGGAAGTGACGTGATATGATGGATGATGACCTGGATCGAAGAAAATGTAACAATTTTTTCTTCGTTTTAAATTTTCATGAATACAGCGATCCATGGCGTATTGTATCAGCATTAGTATTGCAACCGTGGTATTTTTTGCTTTTCATTTCCACAATCCGCACATTTACGCATTTCAAAGCAGCGGCAGTGTAACGAGAAGAAGCGACCGGACTCCAACTATCGGCGGCAGCAGAAGAGAGAGAATGGTGGATCTTGATGATAACAAAGACGATGGATGGGCCACAGTCCCGAAGAAGAAAAAGACGCCTTGCAAAAGCGGCGCCAAAAATTGCAACGGTAACAAATCAAAGGAACGATACAACAATCCATATATCGAAGTCATCGCCCCCACGAAAAGMAGCGAGAGCAACGTTGGGACCGAGCAGAGGCACCACGATCAGCAACATCACTATGAACCCTTCATGATCCTGCTAGTAGGACTACCCGGTTCGGGAAAATCCACGTTTTCGGAAAGCTTGGTAGCCTCCATGCCCGAGAAATTCTATCGGATCAACCAAGATAAGTTAAAATCGAGGCCGAAGTGTGAACGGAAGCTGAAAGAAGTCCTTTCCGTATCACCATCGCAGGTGCAGGAGCAAGATCAGCAACATCGTCGTCAACGCTTGTGCCCAATCATTGACCGGTGCAACTTCGATGCAATGCAGCGATCGACTTGGTATCGATTAGCAAAGGAGGCGGTCGGACAAAGAGTTTCGTCGCCGTTGACGTTGACGATGACGAATGTTGTGTCGGAGGACGGGGACTCGCCATCGAGCAAACAGGAGGAAGAATCTCCCCAGATCGCAGCAACTATGACAACGATAGAGTCGGCACTCGAAGGCACCAATCTTTCATCGTCGTCGTCGTCATCACCAGCAACGATGACAACAACGACGACTACTACTGCTACTTCTTCTTCTTCCTTAACAACCAAAGGAATTCCAGTGGATGTGGTTGTGTTGGACCTTCCCTACGAAGAATGCTTGCGAAGGTGCCAGCTACGAAAGGGCCACGAAACCATCAAATCCCCCCACCAGGCCCAAAAGGTATTGAAACAACTCCGAAGAGAGTGGAGCCCACCACACTATAAAAAGAACGCCGACGAAAAATCCAGCTTTAGATCTCTCACAATAGTTCGAACAGAGAAAGAACGAAAAGAATGTCTGCTGCGAATTCTGAACCAAACAAATTAATCGGCTCTGTGCAATAAAAATAGAACACCCATCTAAACAAAAATCTGATGAAAGAGGGCCAAAATTGAGTGCTCTACGGAACATGTCTACCTATTTGTATTCATAGTAAATTTAAAAGTCTATTTTACAGTACAGAATCTATAATTAGCGATATCACCTTGCTTCGTCTATCACAGGAAGGTGGAAGAAAGAGAAGAATACGCAGTTCTTCCCAAGCCCCGAACATTGCTGTTCGGAGAATCTGAGCACGCCCTCGTGCCGTACATATCTACCAAAACACAGGCCTCTCGGTACCTGGAAGAGTTCTCTATTTGGGTGACAGCCTCCAAGTCCTTTAATAATTGATCGTCAATAGCGTCCCGAATAGAAGCTTCCATCTGAACCACAAGGGAAAAGGTATCGTCTAGACAAGTTCGAAGATTGTGGGGCTCTACCATCAGACAATCAGCATATCCATAAGAAAACAGAAAAGTCCGTCGGATCAGAAGCTGGAAGAGACGTCTGAAGTGAAGAGCTTCGACGTCTTCTAGTTGCTCTCTTTTGTTATTCTTATGTGTTTCGGCAATGATTTCCGGGTGGAAGAATGAGTTTGTTGTGTTGAATGCTCGTTCACTGTCAAGTATTTCGTGCAAAAGGTCATGATCGACCTTGACTTGCGACTCGACGAGCAAATGTTTTTCGGAGCTATCGTGAAAAAAATGGTCCAGCTTAGCGAATGGAACTAGAATGTTCTTCTGCGAGTGCTGATGGTACGATACAATAAGACCGAGGAATGGTGTATGCGACGCAGCATCTCCGAGTGTTTTCCCGATGAAAAGAGATGCGTGAAAGTTGTTGAGAGACATGAAACTCAGGAGCTCTTCTTCGGCTCCAGTGCTGGCGTCGACAATTTCGTCCCAGGAGAGCAAAGTTTGCATGTTTTGGAAAGTGAGAGGTGTTGCTGTCCTCGAAAAAGCAGAAAATATGCCTGTGTTGTCCGATCGCCAATCTGGAACAATGAAAACAGGGAATGATTCCTCTCTTTCTTCTTTACCAACACCAAATGCAGACTCATAAATTTCGAAGGGAGCGTTGATTAGTTCTTTGTACAACGTAGCGTTGAAATTCCGACTCAGATTTCCCGCAGGTAATGCATAAAGTTTTTTGTCGTTTCTCATTTTTCTTTGAGCTTCTTGTGGCGTTTCTTCTTGTTCATCAATCAGCTCCGTGTCGACGTTTTGCCTCGTCATTGTATTCTGCGGGCGCGGATCCAACAAGCTCTCATGTTTCTCATTTTCACCGTTTTTATTGTCGTGACTATGAACTGTTCGAGTATGAATTGCCGGTTTCCCTCTTAATCTTCTAGTTTGCGTTGTCGTTGTGGCTGTAGTTCCGGCTCGTACTTGGATCGGCAACAAATGAAGGGCTGCAAAGAGGAAAAGATCGTATAATTTCATTGTAGTTCTGTCTTCGTATCCCGAGTATCACGATGGAAAATATATATTGCGACCTGTGTGCTATTAGACAAAAAAGCGTTGGAACATATCGGTCCTTTCGGAGTTCGTTTGATTGGGGTTGTGAGAGGAGCGGAATCCGAGGGACGGTTTCACAAGATTTTKTAATTTCAATTGCGAGTCTTGTTTTGAGATGGCTTTCGGCAAGATTTTTGTTGAGATTAAACGCGACCAAAGAAGAGAACCTTACGACGCAAAATAAGCATCAGTAAAACTTATGCTAAATACGGATATTGTTTGGAATCTCCCATATTTACGGCCACAAAGTCTTATTGGCTTCTCGCACACAAGACAACCAATTCGTGTTTGGCGACGAGTCCCATTCACAGCTTGTTTGCTCATTTGTACTCGTGTTTCCTCGCCATTTTAATGTCAAAAATGTAGTCTCATATGATTTATATCTTATAAACATATCCTCAAGGTTAAATTTTTGTTTTATGAGGTTGATACGGTACGGTATGTTTGGTCGAAACAACAAGAATACGAACTCGTATGTACAAGTACGTWTTGTACTGAAGAGTCGAAAGAATTCAAGCGGAAAAACAAAGGAGAGTTATGGAAACAAGAAGGAAAGATGGTGGGGAATAACAATAATACACTAGTAGTACTAGTAGTAGTATTACAGCTACTAGTAGTACTACTACTAGTAGTACTACTACTAGTAGTAGCAACCGCACTACTAATATGTTTACTAGCTATTTGCGGTGGTAATTAAGTATTCTTGAAGAGAGAAGTGGTAGTGGTACTAGGATCAACAAGTTCGTCTTGCTCTTCGTCTTGTTCACCTAAAACTACTACTAGCTAGTACTACTACAAACAAACTCAACAAGGATCTCCAAAGAAGTGCAACCAAAAGTAAAGAGAATGATGACAAATCTGATGAGACAACGAACGTTAATCTTGAAAAAGGCTCACAAAGAAGCAAGAAGAGGAGGTGTGTAACATGCACTGACAGCAGATTGCCCCATTACTCTCCTCCTCTCAGGTTCTTATCACACCCTTTAGATTTCACCAAGTCCACCATTTCCGTTGGAGAATCCCTAGAACAACATTGCCGTAACAACTCACATCACCATCACCACCCAATCATTGGATGCAATGTGTTCCATGAGCTTGATTTTGGTGTGAACACCAGTCAAGGTATCCACCTGCTGACCTTGCCCAGGGAAAGGCTGCTCATGTATCAACTTTGATGTCCAAAATGGGTAGCGGAAACATTCCCTGCTGGCATCTTCCTATCAAATTCAAAGAAGATACTTGATGGTATGGACTTGATAGCTGGGTATTAGTATGGTATTTCTCTCTAGAGGCAATCTGACAGAGCTTTTCCCTGAACCATTTTTTCTGAGTCCATACACACAGCGAAAAAGGAGGGTAACCACTCCAGGGCATGGTACTGTTACAGATCCTTTCTCTGTTGTCAAAGGATGACTGTGCATTATTGAGGCATTATCACAATCTGGAAGAGATTGAAGGGCAGATTTATGCTTTGGAACTAATTCTGGGAATGGTAGAATTTTTGAAATGTTTTTGGCATGCAGCAAAATATCCACTAGCTATGGTAACCTTGACAAGGGAAACAGTAACAATCTAATAACAAAGAATCACATGTACTTTCACCTTTTGTAATACTATGCCAGGCTTTTTGGTCCTCCATCTGTATGGAATTCTTCTTGAAGCACAAGCAACCACAAGATGGAGGTCAAAGCCCCAGCAAAGAGAACTTCTTGAGTATCCAARAAACTGCAAAACAGCACATCAAGTACAGCATGATAGATAGACTCCATTGTGAGTTTGACATGTACCAATACTCTCAATCACACCATATTCCAAAACCAAAAGGTGGTTCTCTTTTTTTCATTGGCAAATGTGATGCAACTGGTTTACCTTTTATGAAGAGTATCAAGACAAAATCCTCCCATGTCTGCCTACAGATGTCATTGATTTCTGCCGCAATCAGGTTCTCCCAGCCATACAAACTGACCTCTTATTAGGCTTCACAGAGCACAAGAGATTGGATACAGGAAGTAGCAAAAATTTTCTCTTTCAGGCACACCCTTTGTATGTATCAGAAAGTAGACAAWAGTGCAATGTTTAGTTTGATTGGGCTTATTTTTTACTGCACATCCCTAACAAAAGGGGTGTGTATCCCATGGGCAACAACAGGCGTCCAGTTCTGAAGTAGTATCCCTGCCAACAGATACTTTGTTTTCTTGACATCAAGCGACCAATTGGCAATATGTCGGTCAGCAGATTTGACCTTCACAACCCTTCTTATTACACAGTTGTCTGCTGTTTTCTGGATGAAGAACCACCAATCACCAGTCGCAGGTCTGGAGCCAACAGCTTACCTATTGGTTTTGTAAGGAAGTGCACTTTACATGATCACTTGTATCTATTTCCATGTTCAAGCATCCATTTGGAGGTTGCTTTTGTGCGTAAGAAACAAGGAACAACAGACAAATTTTTGGTCACTGCTGGGAGCAGGGGCAAATGGCTTGTTACAAATTTCAATAACAYAATATGAAGGGTTTTTTTCCTTTCCAAGGATGGAAACATTTTTTGTTCTTCTTAGCTTCAATTCTAGAACACCTTTTACATCTTTGTTTGTTAATAGAAGTTGTAGTTGTAGTAGTTGTACGTCCACTACTAGTAGTACTAGTCGCAGATAGAGCTTCAATTAGTACAGAAAAGTATACTTGTTTATRAAAAGTGATTTCATCAARAGTTTTAAATAAATGATCAAAGAATGGCTGCTTTTACTGTTGTGCCAAATGCGCTCAGTTTGGTTGATCTCTCAGTTAACGCCAGTTTCAGCAGCCCTGGTCCCTGTCTAAACATTATGGCATCGCAAACAGAATTACCACCGTCCTTCTCCACATAAATTGAGATAAAGATCTTTCATTTGGTATAGCTAGAGGTAATAGCTTTTTAAATGTAATAGTAAATGATAGAATCACTAATTCACTAATGTGTGGAAGTTTCTTGAGCACTTTGCTCTCGTACTTGGTCAGTCTGAACTCTTCTTTTAAGGTGGAAGATAGCGTTGGCTGATTACAAAAGCTGCCAATCCACAACCGATATTGAAGTAAAACGGTAGAAAACCCGTCCCTAAGACTTTCTTTCCTCTTACATATAAAGTACCGTACCAAATTGGTCCAACGACCTTAGCCAGCGCCAAGAAAGCCGAACGCTCCCCCGCCAGCTCTCCTTGGGGAACGTTGGACTTTGCACCCTCAGCGTATAAAGCTGCAGTCACGCCAAGCATCTGCGCAGATCCCAAGCAACCTAAAATTGTCCCTGCCATGAGACCCCGAAAGGAAAAGAAGGATGCTCCGATAGGAGCTAATATGGATGAGAGTGTAGCAACCGCTGTAAAGAATTTTATGCCAAGCCTTCCCACCATTTGACTCCCTGCAATATTGGCGACTATATTGAAAATACCAATTACAGCGACAAAAGACGAGAAATCTTTTGTGTTCAGATCCCATTCAGACCTTGCCACTATTTGGAAAGTTTCCCTCATTTGGCTGGGGAGGGATTGGATCATGATAAGTATAGCCAATATCCGCACTTCTTTTGAATGACGGGTGAGTATTCTTGTACAGGATGACCAAGGCGACTGCAAAAGTTGCTTGCGTAGCATGGTTTTGTTTTCTCGGAAAGGAATTTGTTTCGATGGCAAGAGCGTTTCCCGCATTCCAAACGAGACCAGGGCCGCAGTCAACGCACAGACTACCATGGATGCACCATACGTAATCGATAGTCCCGATTCCGACAACCACCCCGCAGTGATTGCACCAACAAAGTATGCCAAGCCTATGAGTGCAAATTGCAACCCCAGTGTCGAGCTCATCAATTTCGGATCGGACAATGTAATATCACTAACAATGACTTGGGTGGCTGTAAAAAACGATCCCAAACTAAGCATCCCGACAAATTTGGCTGCACAGATCGTAAGGACGGATGCATGAATACACACCAATCCGTGAACTGCAGCCACGGAAATCAAGGAAATTGTGAGCGCCGGTTTTCGTCCGACGGAATCCAGCAATGATCCAAATGCCGGAGACATGATCATTTCGGTAAGAGCCGCACTCGCCGCAACGATGGATAGCATTGATGTCGCGCGGTCAGCACCAATTTCAGCAACGAGGGCTGGAGCCGGTGCGAATGCCACCAATGACAATGCCAGAATTGACAAGAAAGAAGATGCGCGGAAAACTGCCATATCGCCTCGACCCCAAGATGGCGATATTTCTGATGTGGTAGGAACATCGTTTGGTAAAGCGCTTTGTGTCGGATTTCTCTGTGTCTCTTTTTCAGCTAGAGAGGGCTGTATCCTTTTTCTCGCTGCGGTTGATCCACCTCTRATACCGATAATTTGATGACGAAACACCGTGGACTCCGTGGTCCGATATGAATGCAACATTTCGTCTCGCTGTGAAGATCTGAAACGTTTCTGCGCGAGTAAACGATGCCGTGTGTTCTTATTGCTAGCTTTCGGTTTTGTGAAATTGGCAGCGACGCCTGTGCTGAGGAGGAAAAACATTCCAAGTAAAACAGCTATCTGAGATGCATTTCGTACGCATCGCTTTCGTCGATGATTCGTCTTTGTCGTGTCATGGTGTATCCGCATCATATTGCTACAAGTTTCTGTTCCCCTCTCTAATTCTCACTCTAATTGGGTTGTAATTTTGTGACTTTGTCAACAGCTTTCTATTGTAGAATGGAAGAAATCGCGTGRAGTTGTGGGCTTCGATGAAGTGCATGCCCTGTTATCTGAACTGCCGCGCATGATGTGGAGATTTAAAAAGAATATCGAGTTTTGCTGATGTATTCCCRGTGCGAACTCCTACAGATGTGTTTTGGAGTGATTTGATGATGACTGCGTGGTGGATTAGGTGGTGTGGTCTTCGGTCTTACTCATTAAAATCCCGAGTTTCATCGCTGTCACAAATTAATCGCCCGGCTCGGGATTTTCGCGCGTTATCATTGCGCGCGATTCTTCAGAATGTTGACCATTCGTTGGAGCAACAACAAAGCTCGACTCCGAAGTCTACCTGTATCTACCTGCACAGTACCGCCGGTACAGTCATGTACGGTACGCGGTATGTAGGAATAGATAGGTATAGGTAGGTGAAATCGTGAAGTGCCCGGAGTTTGAAGCTAGTTGATGATGTTTGGCACCTATCTTCATGATAACTTATCAACTCGACAGGAGGAGCATTGGACACTTTTGAAACCCACCTGTAGTGGCAAAGGTTTTGCCGAACGAAGACAACGAGTTTGGTTGAGATCACAGRAATTGAATTGGTATTTTGTTATCTGTGAAGATTTGATTCGTTCGGACCAAAAACGGGTACACGGAAAATCCATCTATCGTTTAACTTTCCTTTATCGAGAGATACGATATCACACTGCTCAGGGGCCGCAAAAATCTAAAGGATTGGAGAAAGCACTGCATTGCAATCCAATCATCCGGCTAATTCTGATAATCCAGTATCCTGGAACGCACCAACCACCATGGCAGCTCCTGCTCAAGCATCTGCGATCGCTGCTTCTGCGACTCCAAATGATCACAAAACCAAGTATGCACTCGCCGTCCAGCTCGTAGTGCAAGACCTCATCAAAGCGTACGATGCGGGGGATACGCTGAATTTCACGAAATTGAAAGGAACCGCTGCGAAAAAATACAAGCTCCAGGGAATACCCAAGTTAGCAGATATCCTCCAGGCCCTGCCTATATCATATCGAACGAAATTGTTGCCGTTCTTGCAAACTAAACCGGTCCGATCGGCGTCAGGTGTGGCAGTTGTCGGTGCGTTGATTCTTTCAATGTATTTATTTCTTTTAGTGATACGAAGAACCAGCTTGGTCCCGATTCATAAGTTCGATGCTAATTGAGCTTTCTATTCTTTGTTACGTTTTTGTCTGTTCTGGTTTGACTATTTGKTCTTTGTCTCAATGAATCGTCTACTAACAATTTTTCAGCCGTTATGAGCAAGCCGCATCGCTGCCCCCACATTGCATACACTGGAAATGTTTGCGTATACTGCCCGGGTGGTCCCGATTCTGATTTTGAATACTCGACCCAAGCGTATACAGGATACGAGCCAACATCTATGAGGGCGATTCGCGCACGCTACGATCCATTTTCACAAGTGAAGGGTCGCGTAACGCAGCTTAAGGCTATCGGGCACGTTGTTGACAAAGTAGAATTTATCGTCATGGGTGGTACCTTTCTTTCTCTCGACAAAGAATACAAGGATTGGTTCATTCGAAACTTGCACGATGCCTTGAGCGGATATGCGTCGAACAGCGTTCAGGAATCGATTCGGTACTCTGAACAAGCCAAAACAAAGTGCATTGGAATCACTATCGAAACCCGACCCGATTATTGCTTGAAGCCGCATCTGGAAGAAATGTTGAGTTATGGGTGCACCCGTATCGAAATAGGGGTGCAGTCGATCTACGAAAGTGTTGCGAGAGAAACCAATCGCGGCCACACGGTGGCTGCGGTTTGTCATTCCTTTCAGCTAGCCAAAGACTGCGGTTTCAAGGTCGTTACACACATGATGCCTGACCTACCGAACATGGGATGGGAGCGCGACCTGGCCGGTTTCGAAGAATATTTCGAAAATCCAATGTTTCGGAGCGACGGAATGAAACTGTATCCTACGCTGGTCATTCGGGGGACGGGATTGTACGAACTGTGGAAAACAGGGCGGTATCAGAACTACACACCAGATCAATTGGTAGAGCTTACTGCCAAAATTTTGAGCCTCGTGCCTCCGTGGACGCGACTGTATCGAATTCAAAGAGGTAAGTTTGAAGTAGTCTTTTAGCCATATTTTGACATATGAACGACCGGTGGATGCCTTTCAACAGTGGTAGGTTGGTTCTTTTTTCAATAGTGCACTGAACATCTTATTTCTTTAAATGCCTTAGATATTCCAATGCCGCTGGTAAGCAGTGGGGTCGAACACGGAAATTTGCGGGAACTGGCCCTTCAAAAGTTGCAAGACTGGGATCTCCCTTGTATGGATATTCGAACGCGTGAGGTGGGCATGAAACAAATTCATTCTTCCGTGACACCAGACCAGGTAGAAATGATCCGCAGAGATTATACTGCGAATGGAGGCTGGGAGACGTTCCTTTCGTACGAGGATCCAACACAAGATATTCTTATTGGTTTGCTGCGACTCCGAAAGCCGAATACATCGAGCGCGTTTTTGCCCGAAATCAYGGAGCGGCCTTGCAGCATTATCCGCGAGTTGCACGTGTATGGAACAGCTGTAGCTGTTTCGGCAAGAGACCCCACGCGTTTTCAGCACCAGGGATTCGGAATCCTGCTCATGGAGGAAGCGGAGCGAATAGCTAGGGAGGAGCATGGATCGGAAAAAATTCTAGTGATATCGGGGGTTGGGACGAGGCATTACTACCGAAAGCTTGGTTACGAACTGGATGGTCCATATATGAGCAAAATCCTCATAGACGAGGACAACTGCGAAGAATTGAAAMAATAACGGGGCTACGTGTGCCACTCTAGAATCATTGTGTTCGTGCCTGACCCTTGTTGTCATTGACCACAGAACGAACTCTTGTATATTAAAACAATAATAATAATAAATAGCAATCCATCGTTAATATTGTTTTTATAAATTGAATTTGTCAATCTAACCAATGACGATAGATTCCCCACCGACTGCTATCCTTAGCTTTTTGTTTTCGGTAAGAAGTAAGCACACAGTGGAATTTGTCGCGAGGTCACTGAGTGTCGCCAAGTGTTTTTCTGTCGGTTGGACCTGCCAGATCTCAACCGCAGCGGTCGGCGTTTCTTCTTCGGAAGATGATTCTTCTGAGGACAAAAGCTCGTATTTCACAAACGCGGGCAACGGCGCGCCCTGCTCTATCACAACGTTTTCTTTTTGGACAATCGCGATCGCAATCGGTGACATCGGCACGTCGAGGGTCGTTGGAATCGTCGAAGAGATCGATTCATCCGGGTGGCTAAGATTCCAGTTGGCTTGCTTCGTGCATCCAATGGCAATGGCTTCGGAGGGATCGATTCCCGACGAAAGGAGCTTTCCAGGGAAAATCTCCTTCACGAGGGGTTTCAACCACGCATGCATGTTGCCGCTCAGTAAGATCGTGTCGATGTCGGAAGACTCCGCTTTCGTCATGTTTAGAAAGTCCTTGGCGTTCTTAACGAGTTTTCCCGAGAGGTAGTCCCACTTAGCTTCGGAAATAGTCACCTGGCAATCTATTCCCTCGTATAGGCTTTCGACGTGAATCGTCAGTGTGTTGTTGATTTGCAGCGTCGTCAGCCCGTTCTCGCATGCCCTCTGGAGTTTACCGCGGGCCTTCTTGGATTGCCACACCTCCCCCCTGGGAAAACGATGCTTAATTTCGAACTGCTGCGCGACTGCTTGCCCCAGTGTCTCTACGAGTGCCTCTCCATGAACCGTGTCGGTCTTTTGAGTCGATTCGAGACACAAAAGACCACTGGTGGTTACCTGGAGGAGAGCCACCTTGAGCGCGGAGGCGCCTCCGTCTACAACCAGAATTCGTTTGCTGGCTTTTGAGTTTTCTGTTTTTTCTTCCAGATCATAGGCAAGGCACACCGCCGCGGCTTCTGTTATCACCCCCCGCCCCGATTGTTTCAGGGCGCTCAGCCATTCCTGGGGTATCCTTTCGTCGTTGGGGATGCTGACAATGACACTCAAATCTTTGGTGTGTGCGGCATCGTATGCTAGCGGCATCAGCTTCTCTGTTATGTACCGATCGAGGTTCTCCGCGGTCACGGGAACGGTGTTTTTGTTGCTGCTAAAGCCATTGCCGTCGCCCGATTCCTCAGCTGGGAGGACGACGCGTGTCGTTCGGTTTCCATCGCTGTTGTGGGCACAGACGGGGTGGTTGGAGTGATCGTCGAATGTTGCAACGCGTGAATTGTAGCTCCCCAAGTCGATTCCCACCGCAACGGTTTTGGCGGACATGGTGTCGTTTTGATCTTCGCGGGAGACGTTGGTTCCGTTTGATTCCGTTATGCTATATTCTGCCCGATTTCCAAAACCGTGCTGACGTGCTCGAATTGGTATGTTCTACCTGGCGATTCGTTCCGTTCCGTTGCGTTGCGACTGAGTTCGATCGAAGCGTTTGAGCAAGATACCAATCAATGCTGTATTTTCAAACAACCGCGTAATGAACTCCCTAAGTTTGAATGAAAGTTATAAATGTATCATACAGTTATCCCTGCAGTCGAAAACCGAAGAGGACGTTCCAAAATACAATGATTGTGTATGATACCGTTCTAATGATAGTGAGAACCCGTCTCTCATGGTTGGCATGCGTTACGACCAATTCTCGACCGAGACCCGGGAGGTGGACGGACGAAAACACATTACAGTACCTGGGTATGTTCCTACGGTATGGTACCCACTGAGGTATGTTCCTAGTTCCTATTCGCCCAGTACGACCTACGAGTAGTAACGAGCTGTACGTACCCAGTACCAGGGGTCTAAATTATGACCCCTGCCCAGTACCCAGTACCCAACAACCAAAACTACTATCCAATACCCCACTACCATACCCTATCGTAGGTACGAGTACGTACCCTCGTACCCTCAAGGTTGATATTGATATTCCTTATTCCTAATCATGGAATCTACGTGGTATTGCCTCACAATTCCCACCGAACACCCAAAAGCTATGAGTACGTAGTACTACCTCCAGATACTATGGAAAGTACGTACGAGTCCGAGAGTCCATGATGTTAACTAAAGCTACCGTACGTACGGTACATACCGGAAGGGTTCATACTGTAATACTGTACTGTATTAGAAGCCTGGGTACGAGTACGTACGAGTACCGGTACAATGGGAAGCAACCCAAATACCTGCCGGTACTGGTTGTTTCGATGACTGATTAAATAATTCTTCCCCACGGCACGCCTCGAGCGGKCGCATCTCGACAAATTTTTCGAACTACAGGACTCGGAAATGTGCTCGAAGCCTGATAACATTCTTTTACACGACAAACCCATTCCGGATTTCAAGTTTTTTGCTCGTCGACCTGCTCACGAAGTGTTAGACAACACGAACCAATTTGTACCCCAGTCGGTCGGAGATGCAAGCCAATCAGGACCGCTTCWTATCGCACCGTAGCAAGAAATGAGCAACTGTGGATTGAGTARCCTTACATGACATGGACAAGACGTACTCTATTTCAATAAACCAAGGAAAATCATAGAAAATAAGTAGTAAGCAGTAGTCAAACGAAGCAACATCGACCCGACAAGAAACGCTTCGTATATAGTGGAACGAGTCCGATCTAGCACAGCACATACGTTGCCAATAGCAGGAAAAGAATGGCGACTTCTTGTAGCGAAACTAGCGCGACGAGACGGAGGTCTAGGAAGCGAAGACGGTATTTCTGCGGCAACCACACAACAACGGATACAATAACGAGGCCCCGTTCTTCTTCTGCTCGTTCGTTCATGATGGTATTTTTGATGGCGGCTTGCGCCGCAATGGTTCAGGGTGACTCACGAACACTTAGACATCGCCGGTTGAACCAACAGAAGAATACGCATGCTATTCTAGATCCAACTACCAATAGATCAATATTAGCACCGGGGATCAAAGAGGAACAATATCCACAACGGGCACTGCACGAATTCGGCAACAAAGGGGGAAACGAGGTACATTATGGGATCGGGCAACAGCATCCCTCCAGGGAACGAATAACGGAAGCTCCGTTGACTCCTCCTAGAGTCGCTACGAAGACTGTACGAAAGTCAGGTGCTAAGAGAACCGAGAACAAAAGTAACAACACTGTCGAGAGCGACAACGATTCTGGTTTGGACAATGACGACGACGGTGGTGGTCCATTGACGGTACACACCTTTACGAAACAGAAAGGTGCTTCCCACAACTACGGAATTGGAAACGATCTGAACAAGCAGCAAGTCTTCACCGGATTCAATCGTCAAGAATACAAATCTCTACCGAGAACCAGAGACGAACCCCCCGATTTTGACGTGATGAACGACGGAACGATATGCCAATATCCGTACGAAGAATGCTGTGGGATTGATGACTGTAAAAACGGGGGCGATATCTGTGTTAACCGAAACTGCATTGATGATGGACACTTCCGATTCACCCTCCAGTGGATCGGTGACGACGACTACGACCTCTTTGTCGTCACTCCGGACGGTGCCGAGATATCCTACAGCAACCCAACGGATCCGGCCAGTTTGGGAAAGCTTGGGGAGGAAATGGTTCAAGAAATATATGGCCACCACGTGGAAAATATTTATTTCCCCGTTGAGGGTGGACCAACCGGGGTTTATCGTTTTTATGTTCGCCCATTTTTCACGGTGGGAACTAGTGACGAATGGACAATAACGGTAGTCTTAGATGGAGAAGTTGTTGTTACCGAGTCGGGATTTGGTGCTTCGGATTCGTTTTACTGCCGAAAGGATCCCTCTCCTCCGACACTGTATCCAACAATTTCGCCGATAAGCCTGTCYCCGACACAAAGTCCCGTCAAAACCGGTGCACCTACTGTAGCACTTCCAGCACCAACGATTGTAACTCCGGTAGAACATCCGAATCGGCCTCCTCTTGGACAAGAACCCGAACCAGTACCGACTCCAAAACCGGTACCAGTACCTACGAAACAACCAGAACCAGTATCAACTCCAAAACCAGTACCAGTACCAGTACCTACGAAACAACCAGAACCAGTACCAACCCCGAAACCAGTACCAGTACCAGTACCAACTGAACCGCCGAATACTCTCACATCATTGCCTATCGCCATCAATGAAACGTGCAATCTGACGTCGGGAGACGAATGCTGTGTGCTTTCGGACTGCCAAAATCCCGAAGAAGTGTGTGAGCAAAGAACTTGTATCAAAGATGGAAATCCGAGATTCACGCTGATTTGGAACGGAGACGAAGATCTGCATTTGTTCGTAATCACTCCGGATGGAGTCGAGATTTCTGCCGACAACACCTTTGACGTGTTTTCGGGTGGTACATACGAGCGCGGCAATACTGATAAAGTACAATTACTGGGATACCACGTCGAAAACATCTATTTTTCTAGTGGGGAGTCTCCAAGCGGTACCTACAAGTATTTAGTCAGGTCGAGTACCGGTAGGAGTATAGACAAGGACTCGTGGTCTGTAGAAATTCACGACGGGGGAGAACTAGTTCACCAAGAGAATGGCTCCGGAGATTCCGTGACTTTCACTTATTTCCGACCCAAAGATGTCAATGGGCCCCAAAGACCGGATCAAGACGCTTCAAGATGCAGTCTGGAAGAAGAAGAATGCTGCATTGACGCAGATTGTGCAAATGTTTCTGGGGATATATGTATTCAGAGAACATGTATTAGCGAGGGGTCCCTAAGAATCAGTTTGGAATGGACTGGAGACGATGATCTACTTCTAACGGTTAAAACTCCAGAAGACGTTGTTATTTCCCAAGGTTCGGACTTTGATGCTGGGTCAGGAGGCCGATACGAGGGTTCCAAGCAGTCGACTTTTGGTTTCCATGTTGAGAATGTCTACTTTCCAAAATCCGGTGCTCCATCTGGTACCTACTTAATCAACGTAGATTCATCGTCGGTCAATGGAGTCGGAAATGACATTTGGACGGTGAGAATCTATGAGAACGGGAAAAAACTTTTTGAGGAGGTTGGATTCGGGGGTTCGGGCGCGTTCAGTTACAAGACAGCAGCACAACCGGTTGTGCCAACACTAGCACCAATACCCGCACCTGTGATTCTTCCGACGGGCCCTTCTGTTTCCTGTACAACTGACTCCGATTGTCTGGACGGTGCTCAAGTATGTGTAGGGGAAGTTTGTATCAACGAAGGAAGCCCAAGATTTACTCTGCAATGGCCTGGAGAGAGCCTGTATAGTTTAACTGTGGTCACTCCAGGCGGCACGTACATCTCTGCTTTTTCACCGTTTGATCCAGATTCCGGGGGTATTTTTGAAGGACCAACGCAGCAACGCATATCTGGCGATGATGTAGAGAGTATATACTTTCCGATGGAAAAGGGACCGCTCGGTTTATACACTTATTACGTTACGAACTCTGTTGTCGCAAGTTCCGATGAAACTTGGACAGTGACCGTATCCGTAAATGGTGAAAATCTKATGACAAAAACGGGATCTGGCAAATCTGACGAATTTACTTTTCAGTTTATTGAAGCTGTTGAAGATAAAGAGGCTGAAATAGCGCAAGGGCGACAACGATCACCAGTACCAGCACCACAGGATCAGAAAGAATGCGATCAACTGAAAGCTGAGTGCTGTACAAATACAGATTGTTCCTCTGATGAAATGTGTTCGTTTGATATCTGCGTAAAAAAGGGGGCTCCACAATTTTTACTGTCGTGGGAAGGAAACTACGATGTTGCTCTTGCTATCGTAACACCTCTTGGAACTGCAATATCATGGGAATACCCCCTTGATGCGGACTCAGGGGGAATTTTCGAAGATCACGCCTATTCCGAAGAAAACCGTCGAATTGAGAATATATATTTTGCTCCAGATGAAGGACCACTTGGAGTTTATCCGTATTACATCCATTCTTATCAAACTGGGAGTGATGATGCTAATTGGACACTTGGAATTTACGTTGATGGGGAAGAAGTTAGTACTGAAAGCGGAAAAGGCTCATCCGAGGTACTGTTCTTCGACTACAAGGGCCTAGTATTAGACGGACAGCAGGGTTCAGAGGAGGAGGTATGCGACCCACTTGCGCTTCCTGAAGGTCAGTGTTGCTCGAGTATAGATTGCTTTCCGAATGAAGCTTGCACCTCGAGAACCTGTGTTGACGAAGGCAATCCTCGATTTACGCTTTCGTGGGAGGGAGAAAATGATTTGGATCTAGTTGTTGTGACTCCGCTTGGTGGAGTTATATCATCGTTGAATCTAGAGGATCCAGAGAGCGGTGGTAAATTTGGAGAGGATTTTGATCAATTCGAGTCTGGGTTACATGCAGAAAATGTTTACTTTCCCATGGATGGGGGACCTGTAGGAGAGTACTCGATTTATGTACGTAGCTTTCTTTCTTCAAACGGTGTTGACGATGAATGGACAGTTGGGGTATATGTCAAAGGAGAAGAGCAACTTTCTGTCTCGGGGWCGGGGACTTCTGAACAGATTACGTACACCTTTTTCCCACTAGTATCATATGCGGGTTGAACTGTATTGGATGCTGGAACTATCGGATAGCATATGTAAAGCATTAGTAAAAAATCTGTAAATTCCTTCGGCGATCTCGTAAAGTTTTTGTACAAGTTTCTAGCTAGCCTCTCAGTTTTTGATTATCTATTCTACTCTTAGACCCAAGGCAGTTGACCGAGGAACTACCCACACCATGGCCAAAGAATGAAACTCACCGCATTCTCCAAAGCCATCAATTTCGGTATTGATCAGTTTATTGTATAACTTTCTGTCGAACACAGTGCCCAATGGAACCTCCTCCTCGCGAGTGCTGCCAGACACCTCGCAGGGAACCTTACTTGCTTCAAGATCTTCCAGCAAATCCATATACGACCTCTTCCAAACTGGATACTCTAGTTCGCAGTCCAAATGAGCCAATATTTTATCTCTCCACTCCTTTACGTGCGATAGATGCAAGTCACCAAAAACTAACGATGATACCCGGCTTTGGAGTGGAATAAAGGATTGAATTGCTTTCAAACCACATCGGATTCGATCTGTATATGTTTCTCCACTCCCCCGCCTGAGCGGGATTCCAACTAGAGTAATGTCTAAATGAGACGCTTGCTTAACAACTTGATCGATGCTAACTTCTTGGTGTGCAATGACCCGCGAAGTGGCATCGAACGTAGTCAAAAGGATCAATCCAAACGGACCATCTTCGTAGTGTTTTCTCACTAGTGCTCGAATCGCCAAAAAAGAATCTTTTCCGCCACTAAAAAATAACACTTTGATTTGGCTATTACTCGTGGAAAACATAGGGAGCTTTCCATCCTTGGTTTCCTCGCAACTTTGCTTATAGAGTATAGACGGCTGTTGTATTTTGGCTGCCTTATTCTTTACATTGGCATGAGAATAAGGGCAGTGTCGGCATCCAGATCCGCAGCATTTTCCTCGCTTCTCGTGGGCGATTCTCGTAAAGACGTCGTAACCTGTTTCGGGGTCTGTGTAAGTCATCTCGCCTTGTTTGCAGGCGATATCATGGATTTTGGCAAATCCCGGGTGGTCTATATCAAGGACGATATCTTCCATGTCGCCGATAACGCAATCTTTTACCAATCGCTTCCTTTGTCTTTCTTTTTCGGAATCGATAGTTGCGGTTTCCATGACATCCACAGGTTTCCAACCTATTGTTTCGTATCCCAAGTCGGTGATTGCATCCAAGACACCAGGTTCGTTTTGATAGGCACACTGTGCCAATAATGCCACACCTTGAAGCAAGAATGGAGCTGGTTGGGCGATGTACCAATCCCCGTACGAGGCATATATTCTGTGATTTTGTCCCGCTCGAAGCTTCTGAAGTTGTTCTTTCTTCATCAGCGTATCGCGAATATTTCGTTCCAAATCAAAGCCGCAGCAACCCACGACAATCAAATCGGGATCTGCTGCGTAGACGTCGTCCCATTCGATGACCACTGCCTTGTGCGTCTCTTTCTTGGGCCTAGCAGACCGCACACAAGCGTATTCCATCATTTGATCTACAAGTGTACAATSGCATGAAAAATCATAAAAAAAGATAATGAGTGGTGTTGCTGTCAGACCAGAATCAAATTMAAATTCATTCGTTCAATTTTGTTCCTGAGATGTTTCTACTCACATGTCCAATGGCCTGAATCGAAGACCGGATCCAACCACTCCAGAATGAACAATGTGGGCATTGTCGAGGAATCGCTGCTATTACTTCTATTGGTCTGGATTGCTGTTTGAAGCGCCTTAAGGTTTTTCAAAAAATCATGCTTCATCCGTTGTCCCCTTTCTGGGACACCACAAGCTTCTGCAATAGTGACAAATGTATCCGCTACCTCGTGCAAGTCGGTAGGTTGCAATGAAACCAGTGATACAATCCTTTCTTCTTCGCATGATTCTCCATCTTCGCTGCTGCCACTATTCTTCAGCAGACACCGCCGAACATCGGCTGTGGTTGGGGCACAGACATCGCAGAGATCTTGCGTGAAAATCACCGTTGGTCGGGCGGCTTGCATGCGATCTTCGATCAATGGGTAGGTGGACGGTATCTCTGTGGAGAGTTGTGGTAGTGGGGCGGCACTTTCGTTTTTCTCGTTCCGGATCGGGCAAACTGTCCGGGATGCCACGGCAGCCGCGGCGGYGGCTGTTTTTTGTACAGCGAGGTGGATATCGGCCTGTGAGCTGACCGTCAAYCCACACTTTGTCAGCACGAGGGGCCGGCGCTTCTTCCCTGATTTGGAAAAAAAATGAGTTAGGATCGGCTCGCACTCGTGGGTGACGCCGACAATATATTCTTCGAGTCCCAGCTCCAAGCATATCGCAGTCGCGGAAGGTTCGAGGCAGGCAATGCGCAATGGAGCTCCCGACGCTGCCACGATGGGCTCTTCGTGCGTGATGGCTTCCATCTGTATGTCTTCGCCAGCCGTTGTTGTATGTTCGAATTCCGAAGAAACGGATTCCGTTATCCTGGATTACGTTCACTATGAATAAGTTGTGGAAAAGTGCAGTTCGGATATCAAGGTACTCTAGAAATACGAAATACGGTCCAGGTAGGTTTTTTCGAATTTTCTGCGCCAAGCCTTCTTAAAGTTCATTTTTTGATTGGATGCGTCATGGTCACAGAAAGATTTGTGATCATGGTGATGTTTTCGGTATACCTGTTGGGAACGTAGTACGATATAAAGGGGGGCAGGATCAAATTCAGGATCATTCTTAGTATTATTATTTGTTCACCTAGAAGTAGTTGTATT